TGAGGAAATTATTGATATTTTTTATTATAATTTTAACGACACGCGAATTGTTATAGTGTTGATTGACTTGATTCGCCGTGCTATAATTTATTTCAGCAAATTGAAAAAATATGAGGTGGTTGCCGTCCAAGAATCATTATTCACAAGTGTGCAAAATATCGCGAATAATCAAGCTATCCATTGTTAAGACAATCAACGTTTCCCATCGAAGTTTATCGATAAATTGTATCAACTTTGAAACCTAAGACTGGAATGGTTAAACTTTGATGCAGAGGAGACAAATGCGTCAAACTTGGAGAAATCTCCCAACTTAATATTAAACCGAACACTTGGGTTAAAAAATTACCTCGTTCGTCAATGATTATGAAAGATACGTATAAAGAACAAGCAATAACTTCTTACCGCCTTATTAATCAAATCGATATAAGATGAATTGATTTAGTGCATGGGGCTGCTTATTATCATATTATTTCTTCATTTTAAAACGAAAATTACTATTAATCAATCTCTTAAGCGAACTCTGAGTATCGTTCTGCGCTAAATTTAGTAGTTTTTCTCGCTCTTCAGATTTTCTCTGGGCAACATATCGAAAAGAATTCAAGTGCAACAAATTAAGGCTTTAGTCACAGTCCGAGGCGAGGCACTCTGAGTAAATATCTATAGTTATTCATTCCGAGTTATAATTATGGTGCTTATAGATGGGGAAAATAATGGCGGCCAGTCCAACTTTCAAATGCTATTGTGTTTAATTATCACGTTACCGGACTCGTGTAAAGGGTTTCGGATCTTCCCGTAGCCAGTAGGGCCTGTACACGATGCCAGTAGCACGGTAAGTACTGGCGGTTGGTATCTGAAAGTTGTACTGGCCGCCAGTAGTGTCCCCGTGTACAAACACCTGTATACCGCTTGAGTTTTTTGCCGGCATATCAACGTCGCTCGAGTCTCGGTATCTTAACTACGAGGCTGTCTGCAAAATACGTGTAATGGTGTGCGTCGTAGAGCTTCTTGCGCGCTCCCATGGTAACATCACGTAGCGGTTTCTGGCGAGTTGAAAAACATGCGATCCTTTAATTTTTCCAGTATCATGTTTGCATACATGATCAGGAATAGAACGGCATTCATAACACTGATGTTGACACATGAATGCAGGTTTATAGTTATGAACACGGCACACGACGCCTTGTTAAGCTGGCCTATAATATGTTATTTCTCCATCTTACAGTTATATGGGCGAATAATAGTTGTACAAAATTCTTTATTTTAAAATGTTTTTTATTTTATTGAATATTCATAGAATATTGAAGATCAAATAAAAATATAAAGTTCACCTAAAATTTATTTCAATTACATTTGTTTTCATTTCATCTGCTTACAGATTTTCCTTGCCCATAGTCTCTTTCCAAAGTTACTTCCTTGGATTTTTAAACCATTAAAAAAACATGGTAAATTCGTCATTTTAGTTCTTGAGCATTATTTCACAGTAATAATTTAACTGCCTATGCAGCTCAATAAAAATTTACTTGCTTTTTATTTTGTTATTTGTTATGTATTAATCAAGTGTGTTAAACGATTGTTATTTTTGGTATCATTTCTTGCAAAATATTTCCGTACATTACAACGTATAAATGGAAGAGTTAGGATAGGATAGGATAGGAGCGTAAGTAAGAGTTTATTTTTTTACATTTGTAAGGTGGAAGTAATAAAAAAGTAGTAGTAGTAGTATGATGGTTTGCTAGCGCTTCAGCTATCAAGCTATTTCGCACCGGAGGCCAAAATATAACATCGCCAGCAAGACGGAAGGTCTCAGTTATTCAAAATATCAAGTTAATCATCACCCACAATTGGCGGAAGATCTCAATTGTCCAGCCCGCTGAAGCTGGTTCGAGAGAAGCAGCGTTAGCATCTCAAAGAGACGAAGTGACAAGGAGGGACAGCTGAAAAGCAACAGAAACAAAGACACTCGAACAAGAGGTCGCTTATACGGGACGTCTGCCGCCCGCTCAAGAGAGACAGGGAAGGGAAATGTAAGGAATCCTACCTATATAATAACTTAACCCTATAACTAAGGCCAACGGTCAGACACCGCGAGCTCAGCGGTGGGGCGCTCAGGAAACAATCCCCAAGGAGCGCGAAATTCCAAAGGACTTCTGACGCACAGACACGCGTCAGAAGTCCCCTCTAATCGAGGGAGTAAGAAAAGAAAAGAAAAAATATAACTCAGTACTCACTGCAGTGAGTGACTGAGAGCGCATTTTCTCGTCGACGAAAACTTGAGGTCACGGACAGACGGACGGACAGACGGACAGACAGACAGACAGACAGACAGGCGGACGGACGGACATGGCGAGCACAATAGTGCATTTTTTCCATAAATGAGAAAATGCGCTAAAAAGATAAATCGCGTCACCGCGGAAGTATAGGAACGTTAATCCAATTTCAGTTATTCAAATAAAAGTGTACGTAAGAGCAACTTTCGGCGCCCAGGCATCCGTGAATTAACATCTAAACATTGCATGAATTAGCAGATGTTTTAACGTAAACAAATAAATTTATAAATTAAACATTTCCCAAAGTCCAATCGAGTAGTGACTTCAAGTTCCGATTTAACCTATGTGACAGCCAAGTCTATTTTCAAAATTTAGTTTAGAAATAGTTTGGACTAAATCTCATAATGTCTTTCAAATTATTAGTTCGCAAAATATTTCTCAGTAGCCACTATGCCATCTAAAGATTTAGTTCTGCTATTATCATGGAAGAGATAATTAATTCAAATCAAATTCTTTAATGAGCATCATTGAATTTCTGCTGGAATTTTCATCTAATGTATTTGACAAAATATTCTATTCAAATTATTCACTAAAAGCTTATATTTTCCAATTTAATTCTTGTGAACTATCGTGTCTCCACAGACTTACTTTTCAAATAGGTTCTTCACTGCGCGTCTGTCCCTTGATCTCAATGATTTGTTTCCTAGAAAACAGGCGCTGTGAGATTTTGTGATTGCCTTTTTCTGTGGCCGTAAGTTAAAGTTTCGCCTAAACTTTAACTTTCCAATTGGCCATGTCAAAGTTTTATGAAAAAATGCATTCAATCTTCATGAAAACGTGCGGCTAATTTACGACATGCCAAATTGGTGAAAAAATGCTGGTGCTCTCAAATGAAAAATGAAAAGTACTGTTAAATCCAAGTCTCAACAGCTCGCAAACAATTAATGGCGTAAATTGATGGACAAGATTGGAAATCGTAAGGATGTTGCTGGGAAGACAAAGATTCACCATACGTACTAAATGTATGGTGAAATTAAACTACTAAAAAATAAATTCCCTGAAATATTCAATGAACATAGATCTACTGATACTCACTCACGTACAAAAGTGAAAAAAAACTCACGTGCAATGAACTCACAAAACAATGAACAAACCTTAACTGTCTTGAACGCTGTATTATGCAAGGTTCCGTGACAATGACGAAATTAGGGGGCAACGCATATAACTGGCATGAGCGTTTTAAATAGAAATTTTGAATACTTTAATACATTACAGTATATAGTTGAGCCATGTCCTCTCTACCAGAGTTTCTTTAACGGTCTTTTTATAGCTATTCGATATAACATTATTGTTTAATGTTCAGGATAAAATAAAGATCATGAGTTCGTATTTAATTCCTAAAAGGTTTTATACCAGTCGTGCCATTATAGAATACATTGTACGCAGCATTAGTGGCAGGAGCGAAAATTATCTGCCGAATCAAATCGAAAATTATCTCGTAGAATCGAAGTTGCTGTGAAAATACAAGCTTACCCTCAATTCAATTAGCGTTTGTGCAGCATAAATAAAACAACGTACGTTATAATTTGTAAGTCTAAAATCTTACAAAATCAATACTAAAGGAGAAGCCAGGCATGATTTTTGCTTGCTAATTTATTCAATAGTTCATTTTAGCCTACAGTCTGCCAGAAAGCTTAACGAAGTTGATAACTTCTGCTTTGCATCGATTTCATCTATGTTTTAAATGTTCGCAAATAGAAGTTTGATAATTATTATTCGGATTCTATTGAAAATTCACGATTTTGGGAAAGTCAAAATTAATTGATTACAATTTTTACCTAAGCAGTTGGCTGAAGTCTCATCAAAATTTCATTGTTTTAAATGTCACAATGGCTGTGAGGAGGAATTCATTCTCTGGCATTGCAATATCAAGATTTCAGACGTACTAATTCAACGGCTTTGACCTTCTCGATCGTTGATTTTCTTCCTTCTTCGTGTGATTCTCTAGTACTTCTTTTGGTTTTTAAAGATTGCAACTTCAAGGAACTTTTCAAAATTTCTGGATGAACTTCGATCATTGCAGCCATGAATGATGCCATTAAAAGGGATGGCATAAGGTGCTCTCAGAAAGCGAATTAAATTAAAAAAATTATTATTCCTGCGAAGAGAATAATAAAGAAAGCTGTTTCTTGCTTGGAGCATCTCTTTCTGAAATGAATTTATTTCTCGACTTCAATGAGACTTTTTAATAACCAATTAGTTTAAATTATTTACTGGACCTCTATATATGTATAAATATATAGAGAGAGAGGTGAGTAAAATTATCCCCAATGCTTCTATGACTGATTAGTTTGCTTCATCTTTTCTCATATCATAAATTAGAACTTCAGCTTTCTAGTCAAACTCCATCTACGTAAGTAAATAAAATTGCCAAAACATCGGTTAATTCACTTATATCCTTAATTCCCGCTTAAAACAAACTCGACGCACTATTACAGTGCAGATGTAACTACTGTTATAATCAGATTATAGCAGATTTACTGCTTTCAAACAACTCGATTTCAATCATTTTATTTCCTAATGAGCAAATTATTAACAATGTTCCTGGTAATATCAAATTGATGCCGAGGCCATTTCTTAGAAAAAATCTTGAGAGTAAAGTCTTGCCTGCTTTCGATAGCCTGTAAAGACGATGGAAGAAGACACTGAAGTTTATTTTATATTTTTTTGCAGATGATCGACGGTGGAGGTCCGCGTCATTTTGCCGATGTCGTGCCTGATTGCATCAGAGGCATCTGGTTCGGTCAGATGCCTGGCCATTTGTCTGGCGAGCAATATAGCAAGAACGGTCGTGACATCGTGGACGAAAAGTAATAACTTCTTCAATGACTGTGCAACACGCAAGATACCTTCAACGTTTCTTATTATGCGTCCTGATACAAGCATCCACAGTGATGTCTCTACTGCTCAACTCGAACTCATACGCTAGAAAACCTGAGAACTTGAGCAGCAACTTCGTAGAAGTGAGCAACACGTGGCTGGATGAAGATCGACGAGATGAACACAATTTTATCTTCGAAAAGCTGGACGAAGGCGATGACGTGGAATTGTTCTCGAAGACATTCTCCCCGATTGAATTTTCAACACCTCCCTCCTCCACCGAACACTCAGACACTAACTGCTCAGACCCGTTGGATCACGTTGAATGGAGCGACGCTGACCTCGTTGGTTCATTTGCAGTGTTGATCCTCATCAATATTCTCGTTGTGGCTGGCAATACTCTAGTAATAGCAGCCGTGTTTACCTCCACCAAGTTGAGATCCGTCACCAACCTGTTCATCGTGTCGCTGGCCGTGGCCGACATGTCACTGGGTATCATGGTTCTACCGTTCAGTGTCACCGTGGAAGTCTTCGACACTTGGCTGTTCGGGCCGCTGTGGTGTTCTGTGTGGCTTGCCGTCGATGTGTGGATGTCTACCTCGTCCATCCTCAACCTCGTCGTCATCAGCTTTGACAGGTACCTACTTTTTTGTTGGAAATGAAATAAATGAGCTATAATTATTATAAGATTTCTTGCAAAAGTTTTCGCTTACTCCTTTTCAGAACGAGTCAAGAGAGATGGATGAACTGCAGGCATTTCGTTAAACAGGATGTCAGTTCAACAGATACGATAAAACAGAAAATCAAATAAAAAGAACTTGTTTGTTGGGTGACTAAAACCATTTTATTCCATACCAACTGCAACGTATGAGTTTATGGGGTTTGAATGAATTATCAATTAACGAAAATTAAACGGCTGAAAAATGTTTACAATAATTTCTACATTGTAAGTGCGTAAATCTTAATTGAGTGTGCTTATTGTAAAAATTAAAATTGTTTATTCTGCCAATCGTTCTCATGCTCATTAATTGGTTGGCATGCTGGATGACTAATGATCGAATGCAAATACTTAAGCCGGAAAATCCCTCGTATCAACGTCAGCAAATAATTTTTCTGAATAAACCGAGTTAATTAATACAAATTTACAGGCTTTAAACAAATCACAATGCGAATTTTAAAATCATTCAAAACATCGATCTTTTATTGAACTACAGTGATGATTAATCCCCACTTCTTGTGCGCGTCTTTTTAAATTCCTCGCACATATCGGCAAGATCGTACGATTTCTTGAACAGATCTCGCGCACGGCCATAACCTTCCTCAATACCGAAACAAACTCCAGTAACCTGCTGAAAACACACTCTCGAGATCACCTGTAATCTTACGAATGTCGCTGTCATATAAATAAAAGATATCTGACGCATGTGCCAGAATAGCGTCGTGACAATGCCTGTGCGATGACCGCAGTTCCGCATGCCGGTTACGAAGAGAAGAGCTTTGGCTTTGTTGGGCAAAAAACGACGGGAGTCTGTGAGCGGAATACAATGTAGACTACGAACCTCAAGCCAGGATAAAAATATTTTATTGGAGATTAATCGCAGGCAAAACTTGAATACATGTTTATTTTAATGGCCACGTGGCCGCTAAAAGTTCGGAAACTTTCAATGGACGGAATATTAGCGATACGTCGCACTCGCCTGCTCAAACAGTAAGAGTCATGACAAGGCCGGTAATTATAATTTTGCATTACTAATCAAGTTTTACTAAAAATTCAAGGTTCATCCGTCAACTTTATATCTGCAGACCATGCAATGAGAATCACCTTGATTTCACGCTTTTTCGTAGGAAGATTATTATTTTGATTAATCATTATCCTGCGTATTCTTTTCAAATTTAAGTGATATTTTTCAAACTTGGTTTTACATTGATCATTATTACTATTATTAATACAACTTTTATCGATATTGATAAATGTTCATGGGTCAAGTTCAATTTCTGGAGTTAAACAATATTTGAATACAATTGCAACTTGCAACTTAAATTCATGCTCATATTTTTCTGTGCTGTGTTGCATTCAGTTTGCGCACATTCTTAGAGCCAAACCCTGCCCCAATGATACGAGCATGAAACATAAGATTGCTTCCCATTATTTTGACGGTATTCTAGGCTGTTCGTTATTATAGGCTCGACATATAATTATTACTGCCATCCGATACATAATTATTGCTGAGACATTGCGCGAGCGAGGGAAGGCATCGAAATGGCCGCGCTTCTCTCAATTAAGACTGCGTGTATCGAACATGAAAGATGCTGGTTAGCCTATATTTATTATATAGAGCAAAGCAACGCTAAGACTATTTGCAACAAATCATTCTAATATATCATATCTGATGAGAAACTCGTCGTTTCAATCATGTAAAAAATTACGTTGAAACTCTCTGCGCGCTATTATAATATGAGCCAAAAGTGGGTGTCATGGAAAAGTCAGGTTCGTGTTCAGAAAAGCTTCATATTTTTTGCTAACGCATCGTAATATTCAGCGTCTATTTGGCGGACCTGTTCAATATTCCGGCAAAAAGGCTTCGAGGCTGTAGAACTGGCGAGTGGATATAAACTTGCAGGTTACGGCTTTGCATTATCGAAGCTGCCTGAAGCCCCAAACACATCCTCAATACTCCTTTTTTTAATAAATCAATAAATGTTTTCCTAATTTATAGAAAAAATCATTACTTCTTAGAAAATATGATTTTACCTTAACGTATTAAGAAAATGTTAAATTTTGGAGCTTCTATCATGAAGGTTTAGCAAACCGAATGTTTAAATGCAATTTAATACGATTTTGTTTTATTAAAATAAGTTTCGACGTTATATATGAACGATAATTTTTTAAAAAAGGGCATACCATGAATGTGATCTTAGAAGGTGATTCACATTTTGAATGAACTGGAAATATTTACGCCATAGTTATTGTAAACTCTGATTCTAACAACTCTGATTCTAACAATGCTAATTTCTGTCCCAGATACGTTGCTGTGACAAGACCGGTTTCCTACCCGAACCTCATGACATCAACCAGGGCAAAAATTTTAATTGGGGTGGTTTGGGTAACGTCATTCGTTATCTGCTTCCCACCCCTGGTAGGTTGGAACGACAAGCACCAAACTCTGGCGTCCAGCGGTGCGTCTTGTCATCTCACGTGCGAACTCACTAACGAGATAGGTTACGTGTTGTACTCCGCCTTAGGCTCTTTCTTTCTTCCAATGTTCGTCATGATGTTCTTCTACTGGAAGATATACTTGGCAGCAGCTGAAACAACCAAGGCAATTAATCGAGGGTTCAAAACTACCAGAGACCAGAAAGATGGAACAGCCAAAAGATTTGATGATCACGTAACGCTGCGCATCCACAGAGGAAAGAACAGTTCCGAGCGTAGTCGTGACGGCAGACCAATGAAAGCCCACTATGCAGCTGTGCGCAAAACCAAATCAGAGTCACTCGGGCCTCAGAACCTTTACGACGCTCCAGCAAACGTACCACACGATGGAGTAGAACTCGTGTCCATAGAAGGCAATAGGAAGACGAAGGCTCGGCTTATAAAACGTCAAGACAACCTACGCTTAAAAGCTCCGCCGAGGTTATCGGTGGAGTCGACTAATTCGACTCAGGCCGCGTCTGGAGGTAGCGACACAAGTGGAGCAGAAAGCTCGACAAGCTGCCATAATGGAAGTGTGACTCCCACGGCGACCCGAAGCGCTTCTCGAATGGGGCGAAGGAACATCAAAATGCAAGTGAAGCGCTTCCGCATGGAAACCAAAGCTGCCAAGACGCTCGGAATCATCGTGGGAGTCTTCATCATGTGTTGGCTCCCCTTCTTCTGCATGTATCTTGTTCGAGGCTTCTGTCCAACTTGTATAAATCCTCTTCTTTTCTCTGTGTTATTTTGGCTCGGTTACTGCAATTCCGCAATTAACCCATTCATTTACGCTCTTTTTAGCAAAGATTTCAGATTCGCATTCAAGAAAATCCTCTGCAAGTGTGTGTGTCAAAAAGTACGTAGCAAAGGAATCGTAAGAGCGCCTACGATTTACGTCCCGTCGTATGGAGAAGAGAGCGAAGAATCAAAACCTGTCGCCCTTTCTTAAACCCAATACCCAATCAATCTATTGTTAACTATATGTTTATCTAATGTATAGCTGTCATGTTTATTTATTAGTTATTCTGTCATTAGTAATGTGTACATGTTGACGATAAAGCATTCAAGTCGGAGAATAAATGTGCTTAGCTCGATCGGGCAGTCGGTTTCACAGTGTTCCGTCAATGTTCAGCGTACTTACATGCAAAATTTTTCTAGTTAGATGTCGCGAAAGTTTCAGTATTATTTGTTAGTTTGATTCATGGCATTGTGAAATCTTAGGCAATCGCATTTCACACTTTTATGCCGAAAAACTAAAAACTTACAAGGTTTTCTTTGCTACAGAAAAAAACCTCCGTCCTCATGAAAGTTAACCTATTCACTGCGATGCAATTTTTTAGAAATATTTATACAGCAATATTTAGTTCAAAATATTCCAGCTGACACCACTCACAACGTCAAAAATATCAAAATTTATTCGACCAGAAGAAGGGACATAAAAATCCAAAGAACCGATTAAATTATGTAATAATTTAAGAAATATTTTCTATAACCTGTAAATTTTCCCAATTTTTTATAAATGTTTCTTTGTGAACGTGATTTCCTATTTTTTGAAAACATTCCAATATTTGCTAGTAAAATTAAGAAGCAAATATTTATCCAACAGTTAATTTAAAACGACTACTGAAATAGTCGTTTTTTAAATGCAGAAATTATTTGGAGAACTACAATACAGAAAAGTTGACGCAAGTTCTTGGTTTGAATATTTTGCAAAGTCATAAATTCATCTGAATGATTTCCTCATAGTTTAAATCTGCCTTTATAGTCAGCGGAACGCAATTCACGATCATTTCTTAACTTATAAGATGAAATTTTTCTAGTGTTCAGTCACAGAGTACGAAATGAATTTTTAATTCATGATGACCGAAAAAATGTAAACTTTAGTGAAACTGCAAGGACTACATGATGAGACATGTAGTCTGATATGATCTTGGGGTCGTTAATCATTAATGAAATCAATTAGAAGCATCTTGTAGATGCTGTAGCTCCTTACGTTTTTGTAAATGCTTCCTTGGCTTGGAGTAGTACATACGAAGACGCGTTACACAGGTTGTGTTCACCGCAGTGCACTGCCTCCATTCATCCATCTGTTTTCATGCGCCATTTTTAAACTTACATCTTCTTTAGTACGATAATTTGTCTCACGAAAATTTATTTGCAATATGATCTTTCATTTTGTGAGTGATGCATCATCATTCTTTGAAGCGTTATATGAAGATATTAATCCTATGAAGATAATGAATGTTAGTAATGAGTGCGCTTTTCACTTTTTAACTGAGTGATTACCACTCTTAAAGGGCATTCTTCACACGAAATAGTGATCAGTTTATTATAAGAATTTGTATAAACAAGTAATAAATGTGTATCGCAATTGAGAGCCGTCCTCAGTTATAAAAGCTTCATAGATATAAATTAATGAAAGTACTCATAATAAGTATCTACATTAGCATTGAACTCGATGAGTGCGAAACTGTTATTATCAAATTGAAAAAAATCACTTTACATTATGAGCATTCAATGTCATCGTTTTCCTGCGGGATTCCTTATATTTTGCAACATAAAATGTTTCAGTATCCCATTAGCAAACCAGCTATTGATATTACATCACAACACTCGTTGGCAACTTATTCCTAAGGTTCTTACAGATCAACCACCAAACGCTAAAATATAATAAATGCTAAATATTGTTTCATGAAGAAACCTTTCATTTAAAAGAGCATTTGTAATGGATTACAGATTATTCCTATCGTATAATATACTTTTGTTTTGCCATGAGGATATTTTCTTATAGCTTTTCCGGTAAGAAATGTTATTAATGAGCTCGTTTAGGATGAACTAGGATTTTTTCATTATTTTTTTTTGTGGAACAATGTTCGTTACGTCGTGTTGTTCTTTAGTGTTTTTCGGGATGAAACTCAATTAAGAATACTTATGAGCAATGAAATGTAATAAAGCGGTTTTTGAATAAGATGACATGAACATTAGCAGAAAACCGCTTATATCGTTAAGTAATAATTACGCAATCCTAAACAATTACTAGAAAACTACATTTTCTAACAAAATCAGATGGAAGTTACGTGTGTTCCTGTTCGTCGTACGTGTCTATGTCTATGTGTATCTCGAACCTTCAGAATGAAAAACATCTTCTTATTGGGTGTGATGTAAGTTGTTCAACGCATGGAGATATAGACTAGTTTTTTATAATGGTATAAAAATTTTTCATCTATCATTTCCTGAATCAAATCTTATTTGCCTTGCCCTCGATCGGGGCCCAATTAAAAGCATGGAGGGCCCAAAAGAGCTTTCTTATGGAAAGGAGAAAGTCCCACATAAGGCAGTACTATAATATCCTACGCATGCATTGCAATCATTTTTAGTCAAACTTGCGATTTCTGTACGCGATGTGAAGAATTTTGAATTTTCCTCAATTCCTTTCCGGCAAAGAATATATTTTAAGATATTGTCTTCAAACGTATTAAATAGGATATCTTAATTGGAATGAATAAATCCATAATTCGAAGTAATTTTTTTTTATGTAGTCTTTTGTTAAATTGAACGTGTTGACTTTCTACAAATGGCAAAGCATTATTAACAAATTCTAAGGCAGCATGTAATTGCCTTCATTTGAGTCACCTAGAGAGGGTTCTTCACAATTAAGTGCTTCTGTAAAATAGTTAACTCTGTCTGTTAAGTTTTAATCTATAATGAAGATAGCGGGATCTCTAACTTTAAATAACGGTGTTGCCAAAGAGTGAAAATCGTGGTCATGTCATATTTTAGTCAAAGACGTTTCTTGTGCAAGCATGTGCAGCTCACGCGTATATAGAGTCGGCAGGCAGAGAGTTAAGGTGTACGTACATTGTTGCTGCTCGAGTGTATCGAGTAGGATTCGGAAATCATTGTATTCTCTTGTATAGGCAGAGTTTTACTTTCAGAAACAGTTAAGTAATTTGTAAGCTTTCAATTAATTATACCTCTGATTTCAAGTTAAATAGTATTGATCAGTCGCGACCTCTGAATATTGCGTTACTTCGAAGTTCTTCGTGAACACCGCAATCGGTTCTTAGCGAGTATGTTCCATAAATACAATAATTATTTAAAAGATTTTATCGTATTTTTGTAAATTAAAAATAACAATACATGGAAACAATGCTGGATAAAGCCTGACTTCAAATATTTTGTCAGCAACTGTAAAATTTATGCTTCAATCTATTGTTAGCAAATTCTGTACTCTACCTTCGAATCATCCGAATTCTTTATAACTCGCTTTTCAAAATTATTTTTGTCTTCAAACTCTTAATGAATGTCCTTTACGCTATTTCCCAAAATTTATGAGCAATCAGCATCGTTATCAGAATTATGAATATTTGAATTCCGAATTTTAATCAGAGCATCGCTCCGACTTCTTGCCTCAGAAGCGTACTATATATATTGTCTCTCTCGATGTACGGTTTTGAAAGTCTTCGTGTTGATTGTTGCTGTTACTTAATTCATGTTAAAACTCTAACTGTTATAAAGAAGATATCGATGTTAATTAGTATACATTTTATCGGAATGATCCATCAGAAGCGTTATAAAAGTATTATGATCATTGATCAATAATAAAACTTCATATGTGACATGGAATATAATTATCCGAGAAATTTAAAAGTATTTTATCGAAATGAGAGATTTAAAAATTAATTTGGATTGTTCTATATATGTGAACGACATGTTTATAGTTCTGGACTGATGATTGCAGCAACGTAATTTGGTTATTTTTATTGTAATTGGGATGTTATGCACTTATTCCAAGAAACAGAATTTGACATAAAACATGATTAGGTTAAATTATTGATACGCAACTGAAACGGCCTAAACCGACAAGCAACAATGACTGTGATATCAAATACAAACGAAATTAATTATTAAACTGCAGAAAGTACGGAACCAGCAGCTAATTCAAAATTAGTGTGCAAAAAGGTGCAGCTTTAAAGTCCTCACCAGCTAAAAAAATGCGGCAAAGTAGTATGCCTAGTCGAGCATGGGAGCATATTGTGATCTATTTCAAGTATCAAATTGCAAAGCAAAAGTTATGAAGTTTCTAGAATGTCTTGAGGCACAAAAGTTTAGCGTGGGAGGATGCGATCTACTAACTCTATATAACACAGTCTATTAACTCTATATAACACAGTCTATTTCAGGAAGTCAGACGTATTCAATTTAGAGTAATTATGTAACGCGAGTCTCTAATACGGCGGATAAAATTAAGAAATTATCGAAAATCCAATTATGGCAAGATTACAGTATTTTGATACTTCAAAATAATTTGTTGCTTAATTAGGCTCTTTTATTATCAATCAATCAAGTAAAGCTCAAGTTACCGATCACAAAAATTCATTAGTTTGTGATGAATCGTCATTGCTGATAATTTATTCTAGTGGCTCGTTTCATCAGCAACAAAAACAAAGTGATTAGTTGATTGTTACTTCTTATTTTTTTTTTGTTTCGCATCTGAAAACTAAAATTAATTTCTGTATATTTCTGATGAAATATGTTCTTAATTTCATCGAAAAATTACAAACCAAACTTGGGACTAATATTGTAATGGAATAATAATCCGTTTTTTCAAACAATAAAATTACTATAGATAGGAATTTAAAGGAACAGCAGGAGTGAAAAAATTAGTTTAACAGATTCTTATTGTATAAAAACATTTGTACGTAGGAATACATTATCTCCACGACTATAATTTCCAAAATTCAATGCGTCAACCGATTGAGCGATAAGATTTCACAAATGTTATTCATTATTGAAATAATTGAATTACAGTCAATTCACAAACAATTATCAAATTTTTTAATATTATAAATTATAATGATAACAGGATAAAATTCTGCTCAAGAAAAAATAATGTTTCTTAAATCTATAACTTATATACGGTAACAAATAATCAACGATCACTCCACTTAATCAGAGACACTCCATTGCCACATATATATAAGTTCAAAGAACAAGTAGTAAATTACTTTATCTTATAATAAACCTTATCATTTTATTCATGAACCACTTGCTACTAATTCTTTCGAAGAGTTTAAGAAGGAAATTAGTTTCCAATGCAAACTTGACTTGCTTACTAAACCAGGAATTACGAGGCTTTTTAGGAGCTTGGCTAAGTGGAGCTTGCAGTTTATGTCGACGTTGTGGACGATGTTGGCTTTTATCGATAATGACATGCATAAATTGATCAGGCATTTATCGTAACAACTGGCAGAGAAACGTTACCGTAATTTTGATGAATTTTAAATTTGCATTTTAACATTAACCTTATATATCTATTGTTCTTCGATTTTGTACATGATCCAGTCTATCAAAATATATAGAACAATTAATAATAACTAAATATTTACTGAAAATTGAGATATGGGTTAACAAATTTAACATTCTGTAAATTCGAAGTGACGCGAGTATTTTATGCGTGTTAAAGGTATACTGGCAGAGGATTTCCAACACAAAAGTTCCCAGAACTGCTTGTAGCGAATAAATTATTTTCCAATACCTTTTGATGAAAACGAACGCCAAATAGATTCGTTGAAGAGGACTTTGATGCATTTATTACACCGGCCTACGATCCGATTATGAGCTAAGGCTTGAAATTTAACACGCTTCGTGTAGGGCCGGAAATATAGTAATTATAAAGAGCTTCTTGCACGAGAATAATAATATCCGAATGGTATAATAATGTATTCGTAATTATGTACGTGATAATTGCTCTCATTTCTACCATGACATTTATTTATGCAAGCAATAAATTTGCATGGAAATATAATTAAAAGAGTTGATTAATCAAACTCATTAATATTAACAAATGAAATGAAATATTTCATCATGAAATGTTGAAAATTTTTAAGACAAGGTAAAAGATCAAAGCTTTGAGACTTTACATTCCCTTGTTCTTGTTTTGGTATAAAAAGTTGGCGAGGGAAAATATTTTTATTATTGATTGATTAAATTATTAAGCAATTGCAACAATGATTAGTGGTCACAGAACCGTATCATGATGAAACGAAGTTATTTAATTAGCAGCATGTTAATCAAGGAAGCAGGCGTTTGAAGTTCTAGACGCAAGGCTGCTGCACGTAATTGAGGCAGTAGCCGCGGTTATTTACTTCAGTGGGAGACGCTGAAGCTTCCGTGCCGTCAGTGTGGTAAATGATGTTGAAGGGGCGCACGTAGCCTGTGCAAGTGAAATATATTATTTTAGTTTATTTATGTTACCAGAAATGGAACATTACAACTTTTATATAGGTACTGAAAAATATTCCTTTGAGATATCACGGATAAATGCGGTATGATTATCAAATACATTCGTTTTATCAGACGTTCATTGCGTTCGTTGAGGCAAACTCCCATTTTATGAGACGTTCAGCAAGAAAATAATTAACTCGAGAGAATTTTAAAAAACATTCTAGATAGAAAATAATTTTGAAAAAATAAACCCAAAATTCTCACCAGAGGAACTTTATTAAAATCTTTCGCTGCGCCGCTCCGTTGATTGCACTCGATTAAAAAACATCCTGTGTAACCGTGTTAGACTCTATATTGTGTACTAAATATGCATACCAAGAGAGCGTTAAAAATTCTTCCGTAAAAGGCGGAAAATGCAGAATGGTTTGTCGCCTTCCGTTACATAACTCATTTGCAGTTGTTCTAACTCACAGGGAAATAAATTATCCCTCAAGCACATGAATGACAAAGAGAAGTGCATGTGATAAGGAAGTCTGTGTAGAGCTTTTTAATTTTGTGCCAGGTAGCCATCACAGGAGATCTAATATTTCTTATATTTTGAATACCAAAGATGCCGGATACACGATGAACTAAACTATTAAACTCTCGGGAAAAGCAGAAAACAGACTGACTGTAGCCTGTTAACCCAGCAAGACAAACAAACTGACTGTAAAGCACGGCGTCCTGTGTGCTGCCGGAGGTGAGGGTGAAGGCGTCACCACAGATGCGGTCCTGGCAGTTGGTGAAGGGCGCGAGGGAGTTGGTGGTCAGGCAGGGGATGACGAGCCAGTCTTTAGTGCAGGTGTCGGCGCCCACGCGTCCTCCCACGGTGGCCGTGTTGCTGCCTGTGATGGTGAATGACTGCGGGTCGTTCGTGTTCACTGCAAGATCGCAGAAGTTCAGTTATAGTTAGTTCAATTAGTTCAATGATAACTTGATGATGGATTTATGCATAATGTTGATATTATATACTCGGAGAGCTGATGCTCTGAGAACAATATAGATGGCAAAGTTCTTCATTGTTTAAAAAACGCGTAAATTACGTGGATCAGAGCAGAGAAAGTTCATCGTTTTTGAACATAGCATAATAATATTCGAATTCGGAATTTTAAATTTTTAAGCATCAGACTATTTTCATCTAAATCATCTAAACTTGTTTTCTGTGTGCCGGACAGAGAGCAAAAAAAGTCTCTTACTATTAAAATAAGATATTTTCCTACTCAAGTCAAGTCATGTGTTTGAGGACACTCCAGCATGTACATCGTAACGAACTCTTCCATTTGATCGCTTTCTCTCGCACACAAAATCCCCACCCCGAGACTGTGTCGCCATCGGAAGCGGATTGCTGACATCAAAGCGTCCGTCTCAGCTGCCACGGTTGCCGATCGCTAATTAGCCTCCAATGAAAGTCCTACAGGCAAGGGCATTGAGTTTCAATTACTAAACGCTCTTCACGGTCTTCCTGGGGTCGAGAAAACCGACGTTCGTGGCATTCCCCGCACGGCCAAAATATGCGGCAAACTGTCGACGTTCTCGGCATTACAATTTTTTACGAGCTCTTTGTTACTCGCAAAAAATGGCATAGTGAGTTTGTTTTAGAGAATTTCTGTACGTAAAATAATTCATTGAGGAAAATTAATGATAAAATACATAAAAAAGCGATTGTCTGATTAGTAATGTTTCAGAGTGAAAAATTTCTCTGTTTACGAAAATACTATATGTATAAGATAGGATTAAAAGCTCTAGCATAGCGTTGTAAACTTTAATAATTGTTTTCAAAAATTGCAGTTCATTGATATTATTACAATATTGCAAAGATTTGCAATTCAAAATTACATTTATGTGAAGTAAATACGGCTATTTATTCGCAACTGTCACTTATTATAAAGGTTCAAAACTAATTTGTAAGAATAATGAATGATTTTTTTAAGGCGTGAAATATAAGTACTTAATGTTAGGAAATACTGCTCACTCAAAGTGCATGGCAGAAAGCAGTAATTTAAATTATTACACGTATTTCACTTAACTATAAGTGCGATCCCTTGATGCCTCATAATGTCACTAAAATTAGTTTAGTCCGTCACGAAAATAATATCGTGTGTCATTAGAATTCTTTGTATTTACGGTTACGGCAGTGTACTGTACCGCTCATCAGTATCAGTACAAGTCGAGTACTGTATCGCTCACCAGTATTAGTACAAGTCGAGTACTGTATCGCTCACCAGTATTAGTACAAGGCGAGTACTGTATCGCTCACCAGTATCAGTACAAGTCGAGTACTGTATCGCTCACCAGTATCAGTACAAGTCGAGTACTGTATCGCTCACCAGTATTAGTACAAGTCGAGTACTGTATCGCTCACCAGTATCAGTACAAGTCGAGTACTGTATCGCTCACCAGTATCTGTACAAGTCGAGTACTGTATTCCGCAGAAGTTTTTCTCAGGCCTGATGCAGGTGGTGTAGTCTTGGTTGGAGAGTTGTCGTCCTGAGGTGGTGTCATAGTTGTAGCTTGTAACCGTGCCAGTAACGCCTGTGTAATACTGAGTGCAGTAGGACGGAGCTGCGGGTGAGGGGACAGATGGTTTAATCATGACATAGAACAAGCTTTCAGATGATTAATCAGCAAGTAGAAGACGCATAACTGATGTTTAATCATGAAGTAGAACTATGAAAAATGGTTGATTATGAACTGGAAGTGTAACAGATGGTTAATCAAAAAGAAGTAAAACAAATGGCTCATCTGAAAATTGAAGAAATGTAACAGATGGTTAATCACGAAGTAGTACAATCAAAACAAATGTTTAATCACCAAGTAGAGGACATATAACTGATGATTATCAATAAGTACATAGAAGTATAACAGATGGTTGATAGGCAAAGCTGAAGAAGAATAACGGATGGATATTCGAAAATTTGATGAAATATAACAGGTGGTGAATCGAAAACCTGATGAATTACAACAGATGATTTATCACAAAGTTGAAAAAGAATAACAGATGGTTAATCACAAAGTTAAAGAAGTATAGGAGATAGAATTAATCACGAATTGAAAGTATAGTAAATGATCCATAACAAAGTAGAAACAATGTTGAAATACTGAATTTTCATTTGGTGCAATAGGGCTACAAAGCGTCAATGTGAGAGATAAACAATTATCCTAAGATTAGAAACTAATTGGCGCTGACAACAACAGGACAAAGCAGGTCATATATTAGTAATAAATAGCTCAAGCTAAGAGAGTCGCCATAGATATATACTCAACTCGAATATCATTGTTGTGAAAAAGGAAATCTACGGGAATTTTCAATGTTGAAAATATTTTTTGCATAATATCGAAAATTTAAATGTTTTCATTTTGTTGAAGATTATTATACAAAAATGAAAACATATGGTAAATAAAGACTTTTCAATGCGGAAAAATTCTGCAGTATAAATCTTAAAATTGCATAAAGTTACGACGCTAGCTTCAAACGGAGCGAAAAAAAAATTAGAGCTCAAGACGTTAAATTCAAGGCATGTTACGTTGACGTAGATTAAACGTTATTTCAACAATACCATCTAAAAATTACCGTTATTTCAACGTCATTTGCCTGAAGGAAAGTGAATGAAGGCACTGGACGCGTGTCATATCTTCATCTCATTGTCGGGACCAAAGAACCGAAGTCTGCTCTATCGGGCCTCTGCCTGTCGTCTCACGAGACTTTGAAGTTTACTTAATAACTGCAGTTGAACACGCGGATGAAGTTCATGGAAGTTAACCGTCGTTATGAACGCATGTTTTGCCAATGAATTCAGAATGTGGTAAAACAATCTCAAGAAGTTAAAATATACAGTATGCAAGATTATATGGAAATAGCTGGATACAAATATTTTGGAAAACATAATTCAGTGAGCAAAAAATAATAAAGTACAAAGAACACGCAGAACGTGTTTTTTGGCCATTTATTTTGACATCTTCATACTAGTAACTACTAGTATGAAGAACAAAGTATTTCATACTAGTAACTGTATTATTTTCAACCGAGATAGTTTTGTTTTCATATTTTATGTAAAAATCGATTAAAAATTTATGAAATAGTGCGATCTTCAATATCTTATCGAAATTCTGCAACCCATTTAGACCACGCTTTCAAGGCTCCTTGATGTCGCAGCGGTGAAAGCGAGTTGATTCTCAAGAAGCTAACATGGAATTCAGTTAGGCGCTTGCTCAGAGATAAGTAATTGCATTGTATTTACTCTTTAATTTGTTATTTGAAAGGGAAGAACTATATTACTTAATTTATTCACAATGTGGCAATATTTGGCTGCTTCTTTGGCTTACTTTAATGAAACTTTAACAGAATTTAAGAAATTAATTTTCTTCCCAAATTCTCTCTCATCAGGACATTATTGCTATTTAGGGTCTAAATTTAATTTTTTTGCACTTTATTTAGACCTCAATTGATTATTTTAGACTTTTTCAGCAAGCAGAGGATGAAAAAACATATCCGCTTTTTTGCGCATCGTCGTGAAATAACATTTCAATTATGAATGGTTATTAAACATTTAATTATTGCAACTTTCGCAACAAGACTGCGGACACTGACTTTATGCCACCAAGTAACTAATGACTACGTTATAAGCTCGTTACCAGAGAGATATAATTTATTGAAGCATGTAACTCGTTATAACTCGTTATAGTGGGATGCATATTTTGAAGCGTTTATGAAAAGAGAAATCAAGTATAGCGGCAGAATTTCAATTGCCTCCTCCAGAACAGCAGGTTGAGGGTCTCTTCAGTACCAGTCTTCCTCCCAGGCGGCGCTTCAATCTTAACTTCAGGAAAACATAATTGAACTCGCTAGGTTCTGTTCTTTGTTGGCGAACTTGAAAGAAAAAATTCCTCCGGTTCAGGATACTTCAAAAAATATTTATAGCCCCAAATGAGCTCGAATCATGTCATCCTGCAAATTTTGATTTATCAATGCCAATTTCTACAGGATTTTATGAAATTGTCAGCATTCGCAAATCTTTATTTAAACGTTAAAATATTATGTTTTAACCAGTGAAACCCAGGAGCTCCCGGTTCCAAGTACCGCGCTCACATGCTACTTCCTTCATTTTTTTTACAACTCTCGATATTCAAATGAATTAACACCCACCATCGAATATGAGGAAATCTTTTACTCCTATTATGTCCCTTATCTTATGCATGATCATATCAATAGAGTGCCTTCCCTCCGTGAGACGCTCTCTGATGGATCATTTCGATTCGTCTTAGAATAATTCCAGCAAAAACCCTGACATTCCTTCATGGCAGACGGTGTCCTCCATCCATTAGAAACATGATTATCCTATACTTGTCCTTACCCTCCAGCACAAGCACTAGAAACCCTTACTTATTCATGTCCTCCATTAGAAGCGTGATCATCCAGTTCCCCTCCGTAAACATCATACTAGTTCCTTCTGCATTGGAGAAGGAACTCCTACAAGGAACATCTCTCCTACCAGCTTGTTTCCCTCCCTATATAGAACGCAGGATCTCTGCCAGCTCTAAATATGCTCCTCAATGCGCTTAGTTTAAACAAATTTCTACTGCACAGACAGCAGCTTTATTCGCCTAATGTGTTATTGTTTTCTTTTGGAATCGAGGTGAGGGGATGCAATGAATTGGAGACGGGGGCCGAAATCAGAGACGTTCTATTGAAGTGGATTACAGCCTAAATTGTTTTCGATTGAAGCAATGCCCATAATCCGAACCACTCCACGGAGTCCCGTCAACAGTAAAATAGCTTTTTGAGCCCTTGGTGAACCTCGGTAAGATTTTGATTAACTCTTAAAACTTTAAGCTGACCAGTGAAATACATCTTTGTCTGAGAAGAAATTCGTCTCAAGAGACGAATTTCTTCTCATGGGTTGAAATTCGTCTTCTTGAAAAGAAGACGAAAGAAATTCGTCACAACAACATTTAAGTCGCCAGTCCCGGCAGGCGCTCTCAGCCATGCCGCGTAACCGTCTATCCGACGGCGAGAGTTGGATTAAAAGAAAACCTGACACCAACCGTGACTATAGCAAGCACTGGCTTATACAGGTACGCTGAATCTAATAATTATTCTTTTAGTTCGATTTATGATGGGTATTTTATCCATAATTAAAAAACTAATATTGAAATTCTATTGGAAAAACTAATGAGAAGAAAACCTGAGACCAACCGGGAAGACGAATTTCAAAATTCGTTGAAATTTCGACAGAAGAAATTCGTCTTCTCCAATCTGTCACAAGTGACAGATTGGAGAAACTCAATTAAATTCGCGAAATTCATCTGAAAATTAATTAAACTCAAGTTCATTCTGAATTTATATATAAAATTTCTGATTACCAAAAATAATTTTAGAATTTAAAAAATATGAATTTGTTAATTTGATAGCAAATGCATTATTTTTAATCTCAACTATTCACATATTAAAAAATCACAAAGGAAAAAATAGCGAAATTAGATGCGAATCGTGTATCTTTTCTAGAAAGCATCTCACAAAACGCATTCAGCATTTGAATTCAGCAGTTAGATAATAAACTCTGAACATACAACCGCTTCAAGAACCCATGAGAACATAGCCCACGGATAATGCTGACGAAAAGTTTCTAGTTAGCCTGTTAGTACCTCATTAGTTGTTTCTCCATTAATAATTGGAGAAACCCATCCTTTAATTGGAGAACCAATCATTTAAGCTGCCTAACTATCCTGTTTTTAACTAATCAACCCCCAAAAAGGATAGTTTATAGTTAAAATTGTTAGTTAGGATAACTCAAAATTAGAGTCATAATATGCAAGAGTCTTTATTAAACTCCAAATATGGGTAATAATGTTAGAATTTCATTCCCGAATTAGAGCAAGAGGAGCGCCGTGCTCTCAAATTAGGTCAGCTAAACACGTCCTAAACTTGAGACACTAACTGAGACACTAACTCTTGATTATGCATGCGTCTTGAGGTTGCGAAAGACTTGAAGGGGAAGGCGCAGCCTGAGATCACACGATGCCGAGCTGCCACGAGTACATTTCGTGGTCTTTCAAAGACCTTCATTACCACGGCGCAAAGTAAATTCTCAAGACCCTTGCCTTGCCAATTGATTAAGACACAACTCTGTGCTGTAAATATCAGATGTGAAGAGGAACTTCAAAGCTGCAAATTATGGCCTCGGTGAAAGAATATATAGGTTAGTTAGGGCGCATCTTTAAAGAAACACTGAATACGTCGTATGCATATAATAATAGCGATCTTCGAATATGTTCAGGAACGCTATGCTTTTAGCACAATTTACTTTTGTCGTATTGCGTCTGCATCCACATTTTCATAAATCTCGTCGAATAAATGTTACGGCACTGGAAAGATATGATTCAACGGTGCCTACGTTCTCTGATTCAAGCAAATCGTAACCCAGATATAGAAAAATTGATTAAATTGTTTAGACTTGAACTTTGCTTCACATCTGCTACGAAAGTAGCAAAGTATGATCATTTTACTCACCAGATATGGTGTATCGGACGGTATCTACGCATCACTCACATGTGTATGGAGAGTTGCATGGTATCTACGCAACACTTACCTGTGTATGCAGAGTTGCACGGTATCTGCGTGATTTTGATCTTCCATTTACGATCGAAGTCGGCACCGAGTGTGACGACAGTGAGAACAGGAGGAGTGGTCGTGCCAGGTCCCAGGGTTACATACACTGTGGATGATGTCGTTCGGTATCGTTTAAGATTCATTTTTCGTAAGCACGATTTAAATGAAAATTTTTTTCAAACATCGAATAAAGAATTGTTGTAAAATTATCATCAGAGTTTGATCTTGAAAGGTCAGGTAGTAAAATTGTTATATACACTGCCATTTCGTAAACCTATTGAGCAACAATAAAATTTCGCATACCAGTAAAGAACTGCCACATGCGGTGAGAAGCTGTACATCTACACACACATTAAGCATTGGTTGAAAAATTGACTTTCAATAACAGGAATTAAGAACGTTGTGAAAAAATAGAAGTCAGTTTCGACTGAGCATGCGTAAAGTTATCTACAGGAACCCCAGCATAAAAGTGAAGAAAGCAAATCGTTGTGATCCAGTGGCCAAGGACACAAACATGGTAGCAGGGAAGCGTGGGTTCAGACCTCGGCTAACTGAAAACATTCTGTGATGTCGCTTTAGTATAGCGGCACTTTATAGGCGCCGAAGTCGACGACTCGGCAATGCCGGGTACGTTGTTGTTGGAAACGAAACTCTAGTATCTCTTGCCTGACTGGATCTTCAACAATTTAAGGGTCATAGTGAGAGAGCTCTGCTAGATAATTATAAGCAACTGACTGTGGCTGCCAGTGTTGACGCCGCAGATGGTGGGGGTGGTCGTCCCTCCAGAGACGGTGAAGCGATCGTTGGTGCACAAATGATTCGATGTTTCAGGGCCAGCTAGCGTAAACTCTTGAAAGTCCAGCCTGGCACACAAATTCTAATATTAAGACATGATACACACAAATCTAAGTATAGACATGACACAAACAACTCAAATCTAAGTATTGACGTACTACAGTTATGTGCTCCTACAGTGTGGAATACGTATTACGATCGTACCAGCTGCTTCCCTCCTATTGAAGTGCCCAGACCTTTAAAAGACGTGGCGCTCTTAAATTGCATTTTTGCAGTATGGTTGGACATAACTTTCTGTGAAATAAATACATGTTTCTGCATGACCACAACTCACCTCAATTGACAGACATTCGAGTTAAGTTTCTCGACAGAAATTTGACAGGATCCTACTCCGTTGTAGGATTGCGGATTGTTTTCATTGACGAAGTACGTGCAGTTTTGCGAAGCCACACCGCCACATGTCACTTGGACTGGTGGGAAATACGACGAGGAAAATACACATTTATTCCACTATAGCACAATGATAAATTATTGTAAAGTACAAAATATGGTTCCACATGTCAAATCAAAAGCGAATTCATCACTGCATTCCGAATTCTAGTTACGTTACTGTCGATTATAACAATATTTATGACTGCGTTTAGCCCGAAAAGGATTTTAGTGATTGTCGTAATAAATAAATATAACTTAAGATTACAAAATTTTCCCTCGAAAATCTGGTAGAAAAAAATGAACACTGACGAACCAGATTGAAAAAATTCTGACTTACAAATCAGGTTAAAATACTGCCACTCACATATGCAGCAGACTCCAAAGCCGCCGCCACAGGTTCCGGAGGCGGCGCCTTTCAGCGTCTGACACTGTCCGGCCGTGTAGCAGGTGCCGTTGTCGCCCGTGCTCGACACGCACGACGTCGCCGGGATCTTGACCAGCGAGAACAGCGGGAAGGCTGCGCCCGGTACGTGCAGGAATGTTATGTTGCAATGTGCGTAAATTGGGCCCGGGACATTTTCCATGAAATTTATTAATATTTCGTTTAAGTTTATGATTTACTTATACTATCATGGACAGATTTGGCATATGATGGCTCGTAATGATGTGTATATCACTGGATAACAAAAGTGAGGACTATGAGTGAAATATGTCATGTGTCTATCGGATCGAACACCCTATATGTAAATACTTCGTTTTACAGAAGTTGCTTTGCACTGCATAAAACCATCAGACGCTCACGTTAAATGACTTTCTTCTCAAGGTTGTTACATTGAGTTATCGAACTGGTTTAAACTAATATACAGCTTCATTTCATAATAACATCAACTTTTGCATTGGAAAAAATGTAGCTCCTGTCAGCGATGATATTAAGACTACTGATCCAGCAATTGAAAACTACCCAAATATAGCACAGTGATTGCGAGGTAATAAGGCGATGCCTTTGATGAATGGCTGTTTGTACATAAAATTTCTTGATACAAACATCGCCAAATTTCATTTGAATATTCAAAATGCATCAAAATGATATGATTAATGGAACGCAACTATGAATAGAACATCACACTCATACAGAATTGAGTGTCATGAAATATACTGTTGCTTATAAGTTTCATTTTATGCTATATTCGTGTGAATAGAGAACGTTTATTATTATTTCAGCACGCCAGCCCTCCTTCTTTTTGTTTCTATTCAAGAGCAAAATTAAACATTTTTATAGGCCTTGACTCAAATTTAGTTACGAATTTACGATCAAAATTCTGAAAGTATTATTCATTTCGGGACCATTCAAAGCCTCTCAGCTCAATTCCGCGATCCAATTCTAGCGATTTTAATGACGAAAGTCGCGATGTTTTACCTTCTCAGTTGTTTCATTAAAACTTCGATACGAGGAGACCAATAGGCACATCAATAACGTTTCGACGATCAACTTTTGGATATTTGGCAAGACTGCAACGCCTCTGACCTGCTTTAAGATCGGCCTACAAACTTTCTCCCTACCACATATGAGCGCGACCAAAAGCCACAGCAATCGTGCTCTGCAGATTGCTACGAGGACATCACGTTTAGCAATTACGTTACTTATAGATTCAGAAAGAAAAACATTTCATCAAAGTTCAGGGTAGTCCTAATCTTCCAAGTTTCCCTAACTTTTCTCTAGCGAACGGCTTTGCGGTTATATAAGAAGGATGTTTTCCTGATGAATGTGTAGGAAAATTCATAGATGGCCATTCGGCGGCCAATAAAAGCCGTCTCTGTTAATAAAAAGACTTTTAACTTACGCAAATTCCAATATATTGATCAAAATGTAAAAAAATTAAATATATTTTACATCCAAAATAGTCATCGAGCGTGTGACACGTTTGTTTCCCCTTGTTTATTTATTTGTGAGCAAAAACAAAACCATAATAAAAATTATCATGCTACTAATTGATCCGTTACCTTGGCAAGTTTGAGTGGAAGAAAATGTTTAATTGGGGTAAGCTGGAATATTCATGCTATGATTTTATTTGCTCCTATGTTACAGGGTACGAATAATATTGTATAGAAATAACACCTGCAGACTCTAGCAAACCAAATAATGTAGCTAAGAATTTTGGTCCGTTGACAGTACACGAGTGAAATTGCTTTTAATCGCGTCTTGTACGAAATTTTAATTCTTATGCAGATGATATTATGAAAACGAGTCAAATGTCTAATCACAATATATCTGCAAAGTGGTATAAACATTTTTTTGGTGAATTTTATAATTTAAATCAAGAAAAATAATCGAAATTGAGACAAGATTGCCATTTCTGTGGAGAGAAAAGCGTAGACTCACCTTTAACCAGAGTGGAGAAAACTGCAAGAAGAAAAGAAAAACTCTTTTAGTGTTTTGAAACAAAGAAATTTTACATTGAATTCGGATTAAATTAATCATAATATAATGAGTCAATTGCAATAATGCAAGTACATCAATAATTCTATTATACCTTCTCCTCAAAATAGTGCCACATACATTCAAATGCGCGTGAGCTTAATTAAAGGAACTTCGTTATGAGCAAGCCATCGCATGCACTCGGAAACAAACTGTGCGAGTTTATTTTAGCAAAATTGTTCACTTTTTTCAATGATTCAATATACCCGATTTTAATGCTGACTTCTTAGTCCTTGTCACTTCGTAAAAAGACAATTTTACAATTAGCTACACTGCAAGGCCTGCGATTAGTCCGGAACTACATAAAAAAAGTCGAAAGAGCATGAAGATGAAATTTTCATTTTTCCTTACGATGATCCCCGGAATACTCAGTCCGATCAGAAAATATAACCTAATTAAGGGTTGAAATTTTTCATTACGATTGTGAAGCAAATTAATTGTCAAGCCAAATCATCAATAGCGCCGTTTGTAGCAAAATCTCGCTTCACAAGAAACGAAAACTCGTTAAGAATAAGTTTCAATACTTCAACTTTGGAAATGAGCACAGTTCTTGAACAACCTACCAAGCACAGAACTGCATACGGTACAATGCAACATCACCTGCAAGTTCAAACTTTTATCACCCGCACACCAATCCATATGGCTCATCCAACATGCATTCTGCTCACATTTTCGGGTTCACCTTCGGGTCCCGCGCAGCCTTGCAACTTGGAATGTTCCTGATACAAACTTCTAAAGCGAGTCTCAGGCAACTTTAGAGCGAAAGTCATTTCGTTGTATGCGATGAGGCGCCGACACTTTAAAAGTATCGGTAAATTTTATACATGATAATAGCGTACATATTTATATTAGACGAAATTTCATACATAGCAACAGCGTATTTACCTTAGACAAATTTTTGAATAAAATAGAACATACATGCGCTGGCAAAAGTACAATGACTACATGCAAGAACGAACAGACCAATACTGTAATTGTAAGCTAAATGTGTCACTCGAGCGACAAGTGACGAATTAACAGGGAGCAATTAAGGAGGTAATGAATGCGAGGAACAGAACAAGGAAAAATTCACGCTGAATTAGTAGTGAACGCAAATCTCAAACCACATTTGTTCGATGAAATGTTCCGTCGCAGCGTCAGACAACGACGTAAAAATATCAAATTAAAATCTCGTGATATGCATGCTAAGTTACTCGTTCGATTGACCATGTTTTGTTCATACCGCTATTTAAGAAAGTAAATTATGCTTCAATTATGGCAGGATCTCGTTCCTAGACTCTCTGTAAAACCAAAAAAAAAAAAAATGCTCTCAGGCCGATATCGAGCTAAAAATACAAAAAAACTGCACCAGTAAGCTGTTTTAAATTCTCAAAATGGCAGACTAGATTATGGACTCGCCACTTTTGGAATGATTATGTTGATTATTCAACAGCCACACATAATTATGAAGAAGGTGCTTGTCAATAAATTTAGCAGGAGTATATTAAAGGTCTGAAACGATTAGTTTGATTCCGAATATATTTCAGAAAGACAGGCGCGGATGCAGTTCAGAAGATCAATGATGCAGTATTTTGCTCGCTAGAAGTTTATTGATTTTTGAACACGGTTGATGAACATGCAAGTTACTTGTATTCGATGGTAACTTTAAAACTGAGCAAAATGCATAATGAACCATCACCACGTTAAATTATCAATTCGTATAAGCGCAAAATTAGGAATTAAAATATTAACTTAAAAAAATTACCGTAAAAAATAGGATTTATTTTTTTTGAGCAACGCATAAACAAATATAAGTTGCTTAATATATTCATAACGGAAGATATTTGACCCAGTTACTTGACCAACATTGATCTCAGGATACAAACATTTGTCCCCACATGGTGCAAAAAGATTTTCGGAAGGTCGACTCATCAAAATCATTAAACTCAAGAGTCTTGAAAAGATTGGCCATAAATAGGCATTTTTTATTAACTTCGTCGAAAAAATTAATTATTTTCAAATATTTTCTTCGAGGTCATGCCCGAGCAGTCAAGTCCTGCCAGGGAAGAAGTTATTCGAAGGTCATGTTTGTGTCCCATCTATCCAGATCTGATTTTTTTTCACGACGATTCGACGTGTAAATCGCGAAACAAAAGTCTGTTTAGCCTCACAAAAGTTACTGCGGCTCGTTAGGAAGACGGGAAAGAAGAACCGGGGGATAAAATACAAGGATTTTGCAGGTACAAATCATGTTCGTAAAGGATAAAATAATGAACAAAATACGTCAAGGGTGATATTTGCCTCCATGGAACCGAGGCCATACATTTTAGGGGCTTCCTTGTCGTCGTGACAGGGAAGGGGAGACTCCGTCATATAACTGGTCATAAATAGAATAAAGAAGCTCAATAGCCGCCAGCAACGAGGCTAAGATTCCAGGAGAAACTCCATCACGCCAAAGGACCATCATCTACGGATGTAAATTCAATAACCAACAATATCAGATATCATCACAGAATTTTCGGTCACTCATGCTCGGTGAATTTGATTTGCACTATAATTGATATCTCTATATGATTCAACAAAAAATTTCCGTGCATTGATGGTTCAGAATATCTCAATAAATATTCATTCAATTTTTTGAGTATTTAGCATTATTTAAATTACGGGAATACTCATGATTTACGGCAGTTCACGATCATATAATGAATTTTTGAAACTCGTTTTCGTAATGATAAAGTCTGTATAGTATAAGACTAAATAAGATTTTAATAAATTAGCCTCACTATTTTACCCGAACGCCTCACTCTTTTAATGGATAAAGGCCTCGATATTTTACCATAAAAAGAAGATGTTGTAGAAAGGCCCTAAAAAGTAGAGGCTTTTTGCTCAACTCCCATGGAACGAAAGGAGAAGCAAGGGACATTTTGTGAAACTAATTTAGAGAAGTTCGAGTTGCGAATCGAGGTCGCATTCGAAATTATTTTTGTTTTGCGTTGATTCTTGTCAGAAATTTTTAATTTATGAAATTTTCAGTTCGGTAACTTTGGACAAAAAATTATTTTTTCGTTCGAGAAATCAGGCCACAAACCTGTACATCGCACTGATAATATAACTGTCATCCATATGACGCATTAGGCGTGATGCACCCAACCCAAATGTTCTTAACCTATAATCCAGGTTCAGATCTATCCACCCCGAAAATTTTACTTAATGCCCCGTGAAATTTATTTTCCCAATTTGTACCTACAGAGGTAAACAATAGCTATAATTTTAGGTGCCTTTTCGACGGCCGCTCGCGCCAGTTTTGTTCAAGTCGCAGCCGTTTTTTTGGACGCGACCTTGAGACTGGATTATTATTTTCTTTGTTCAACGCACATTTTGTCCGCATCGTAAGGTTCTCGGAAATACATCAGCCGTTTTCAGAGCCTCGGCCTTTACGAGGCTAAATTGTAGCGCTGATGGTGCCCTGACCTAGGTGTCTTCTTGGGGTTTTCATTTTTGTGAAATTACTCTTAAATTGCAGTAGTTATTTATTAGATGAAAATAGAATAGATTAAATTGAAAAATTAAAGTTTCGGTATACTTGTAGAAAGCTTCAGCGAATGCATTCAAAATAACTGTTCTAACCTAATTTTTTTGTTGTCAATATTATTCTGGAACAATACTGAATTGGCTTGGGTCATCCGGGACCTGCTACGAACATTTTGCATCTTCCTGCCTGGCGATTGTTCATCAAAACTTCATGCAGAAATTTTCAGTTTATTCCTCTTTTCATCGCCAGTCGATTAATGATCGTAAAGGAAGCATACAGGATACTGTTGGTCCAGGACTAGATGATTGTATACAAGTTACTCTTATGACCCCGGATTTACAGAGAAATTATCCTGACTTCAGTTGTTTTCTCTCTGACAGGAAACAACTTACTTTAGTTGTTTTCTTTCTAACCTGACCAAGCAGTCAATAATTTCCCCTGCTCTGATGATTCAACTACACAGGCAATCGCCCCAGTTGTTGCAGGAAGTGGATTTATGAATACAAATTGCGAGAAATATTGCAGTAGTAATTGTACTTGGGAACTAAAATTCATTGAACGAAATTAGAGATATTGTTTGAGTGAATATATTTTATGTGTAATTTGTTTATATCCGGATTAAATTATATCCGTAATTTAATCCGTTCCTTATGAGAGAACAACAGAGCAAATATAAATTTGACTGATTACAAAACCCAATGATTTTTTTGAGCGTCACAGAAGATAAAACCATAAAATCGAAAGCTCTCTGGTAGCAGTAACACGTGATATGACATATGAGATCTTTATGAAGAGTGAGGCTGAGGTTTGGAAACTTGCAATTTAGCTTCCATTTGAGCGACATTGACAACGCTCGAGATCAGCAGCTCCAACCGATGGATTTGAAGTGACTCCATCATAAGGCCACGAAGCAACAACATCCCTCGTACAAGTATTTATTAAAATTGTAAAAAATTGATGTGTCACGAGAAGTTGAAGGTGGTAGCCGAAATTCCCAGTAAGAATCACGGCCGGCACAGTCAAAATCAAGTCTGTACATTTATTAGGTTTTCACAGGATTGTGTTATTTCCCTTATCAGGACAATGCGTTGACAACGAAGGATTACCCAATAACCATCTAACGTAATTGCCAGCCATATCAAATCGGGTGGAACTTAAATTGTAGCCTCTCGGCCATCATATCTTCATATATACTTGTTGCAGCACTTATTCATAACACATTCAACTATTTGAAATTATGGAGGAGGAACTATTTCAGGCTATTGTCTTTATTCACCACAAACCTGTACTAACATAAGTATACCACGATTTTTTGGTTATTAATATTTCTTGTAAGTTCAAGAATTCAAAAACAATCATGAAATGTATTGTACTGAAGATTCGAAAGATTCCAAGTCGTTTTACAGTTGCGCGC